TCTGAGAAGATTTTCTGTAAACAGGTGCTGGCAAATAAACCTTGCTGATTGAACCTGCATGGTCTCCAGGAGTTCTTTGGGCTAGGCCTGACAATAGTTGATCTTTCCTCAGTTTTGGTTACTGCAGTAGGTATGCCTCTGTGTCAGTCAGGATGGCCTGATGATGGTGACTCATTGTAGAGAGTAAGGGAGATGACTCTGATGAAACTATGCAAGAACTGTTACCTAGGCAAAGGGTGCTGAAACATTTTTTAAGACCAGCGAAACAAGGTATTATTCAGAAGCAACTTGGGCAGACACCTCTCTGGTTCACTGGGGCTAAGAAGCAGGGGAGGTATAGCACAAACAGATTTGCAAGATTCTGTTATTAGAGCCTATCTCAATAAAGTACAGCTCAAATCTTCCTGTTAATTTTCTGGTCTTGTCTATCTAGTGGGGCTGACACTCTTGCTCTGATCACCACAAAGTTGGACAATGTACTGCATTCTATGTGGGGCTGCCTTTGGAGACAACTCAGAACTACAGGCAATCCAGAATCTGGTGGCAAGGCTCCTGATGGGTCAACCCCGTTAGAGTAGAATTACACCCTATTTTGAAGTTGCTGCATTAGCTGCCAGGCAAAATTCCAAGGGCTAGTCATGACTTTTAAAGCCCTTCAATGCATTGCACCAAATTGTATCAGGCAATGTCTTGGATCTGCCCAGCTGGTATAAACATTGTTGACATGATCTGTATGACAGACTTTTTCAATGGTAGCCCCTACTTTTTGAAGTATCTTACCCCCAGAAGTGGGGATGAACCCCTCCATCCTTGTATTTAGGAGCAAGTTAAATCTATGTTATTCCAGTGGGCATTCAGCTTCTAGTCCTGATGCCTCTTGCATATTTAATTTTTATTTGGACTATATATTATGGCTTAAGTATGTATATTGCTCTTGTTATTTGCTGTTGAGAGTCCTAGTTGACTGGGGCAGCTTATGAATACAGTAAATAAACAAACATGAAAAAGGCCACAGAGCAGCTTTTGAACTGACCCCAGGCACTCATCATCAGTCATCATCAGTTCAGTCATCCCTTAGAGAAAAATGGGATGGTTTTTAGGGGGTCTTACAGGAGACAGACCCATCCACAGACCTGCACATGGCAGGAAAGTATAACCTTACCAAGAGAAAAAGTGGTTGAACTTGCAAAGAATAACTGGAGGAAAGGTACAGTGTACTGGTGCCCATATACCTGTCAGCCCTTCAGGGAAGACCAAGTTAGGAAAAAAGCTTTACAAGTATGCTAGAATTCTACATTATTGATACAGGTTATAGTAACAGAATCTTGAAAGCCTGACTGTGTTTTCCCTTTCCTCCTTCTTCAACCCCAGGGAGTTACGGTAGAATGAGATTGAGCTTCTTTCTGGTGTTTTCTTCATTTTTTGGACTTAAAACTTTTTTTTATTGTAACTATCACTGTATAGTTTCTTCAAGGTCATCACTGTGGCTCACCGCAATGCCAGTATCATGGGTTAACTGGAATATTCAGGGGGAATAGAGGAATGATACATACATACTTACATAAACAGTACCATAATATATATGTAATATAATATACACAGAGAGACCATAACAGAAATCTGGTGAAATAAAGAAAACCAGTGGTGAAATAAAAAAGACAGGTAGTGAAATAAAGAATTCAGTGAGATACTGATTCCTGGCTACAAGTAATACAGAAAGGACAGGGATTAACATACAGGGAAAGAATAGGGAGAAGGAGATAAGAGTTCAACCAGATGGAGGATATGGGAAAACAGGACTTCACATAATCACTAGTGGTAGTTATACCAGGATTAAAATTGATTAATCGCCTAACCAAGAAACTGCCAGGGATCTTAATTTATAAATAGCAATAGGGGAAGTATCCAAAGGAGGAAATGCTGTTATGACGGTCAACTTTAATTATTCACAAAAGATCAGATGCATTCATATTCCTCTCACAAGAAAGAAACAAAGCCCAGAACTACCTCTTGGAACAGCTGGTCATGGTGCTTGAGACCCTGTAAGGAATTTGAGTGTGGTAGATCTGATGGGAACCAGTGACCACTATGGAATTACATTTCATGCATATGCAAATGAACCACTGCCAAGGAATTCCACACTGAAACCCTAGACTTTAGGAGGGGTAATCTTCCCCAAATGAGGAGACCAATAAAAAAGAAGCTATTGAAGACAGCAGTGCAGAAAAGGGGAAAAAATTCAGGAGGATACCCATTTGGCTCACAAATTCTGCCAAGGAGGTTATTGAGACATAAGAGTTCCTTCAGGAAACTAGTCTTGCCAAACTGAGGAGGTCAAAATCGAATATAAGCACTGGCAAAAGGAATGCAGGGCAGTAAAAAAAGTGTTTGAGGAATACTTGGCTACAAACTTAAAAGACAACAATAAAAAATTCTCCAGCTGCATTAGAAGCAGGAAACTGGCCAGAGAAGCTGTTGGAATGCTAACAATAAGACAGAAAAGGGGACACTCCAAGAGGATGTGGAGATATCAGAGACAATGAATGAGTTCTTTGCATTTCACCATGGCAGGCAATGGCAATTCAGACAGTCTCTTGTGGTGTTCAGTAGCTTCTTTATATAT